ATTTTCGGTATGCAGAGTACGTAATCACAGAACTCTTTCAAACAAATTTGTAGGTGACAATTCTATCGCAACAGACCGTGCACCATTACAACTGGTTGTATCTTATTACCCGCACACCAAACTAACTTCCTCCTTCAAACAATTTTTTTTTCGCATACGCACATTCCTGTCAAAGTTGAGATAAGGACTGTATAGGTATTGAAGCTAATTTCCTACTTATACTACTATCTTGGGATCTATTCTAAGGTAAAGAGGTCTTTGCGGACAACATGTCACATACGTCCTCCGGCGTCTGCGACGAGACACATTCGCAGTAGGAAACGCCAAGTAGGCACCGTAAGGCGTAGGAGAGATTACCCTGCAGAGATATTTGGAGAAAGATACTAATCTCCTATCGGCACATAGAGTAAAAATAAAGCAACTCTCTGAAACTTGAAAGTTGGGCAGTTTGTAGTTCGAAATGAGGAACTTTAAATGTTAATAATTGTGTAAATATGGATAGAGTCCAGGTTGTTGAGGTAACAGCAAGAGTAAGAGATAAAGGAGCAATAACGTGACAGATTACAAGACATATCGCAATTAGAGTGCTTTTGCGACGAATAATTTGTACTAATGTTTCGGAAAAATATTCCTTCAAAGATTTTAAATTCAATGATAGCTCACTTGTACTGTAAACGTTTCTTCTCAGCTGCTTCTTCTCGTGGTTTGCCCGTGGGCAGATGTCCTGGCGCTGGGCTATTATCTGTATTTGATTCGAAAGAGGTGGATGCGGAAGATGGGTCGGAAATTCCTTAAAAATCGTAATTACAAGTTCTAGAAACAATCTCATATTGGACAAGAAGATATATCTAAAATTCACCTAACGCATGTAACTCCTCCAAATGACCTTTCGCAGCCCATAACGACTGACATGCGGCTGCTACCGAAGTCTGAATACATGCCTTATATTCTTCCTTATCTAAAGAACTAGATAATTGTGATTTGTCAACCTCTGGTTGCAAATGCTGAGCGGTGTTCTGCCGCGTCGTCTCAGATACTGTTCGTCTATCCATAGACATGCGTCGTATGTCACGCGGTGAATCTCCTCTGTCATCAAATGACTTTGCCTAGAATGTAGTTTTTCATAAAATATCCTAATAAATCTTTGTACATAAAAACGGCTCCTGAACCGAGCCACCGGCCGATTCCTTACGAGCTAAATGATACCGCCTACACCGTAGACACTTGCGGCGCACATATCTTTAATGGAAGGATCCTAGAAAAGTGAGGACTATTCCGAGCAGTTCTCCTCCGTCGGAATAACCATCCTATGCCTGCTGAATGCGCTTTACAAGCTCTTCACAATGATTACACTTATCCACTTATCGAGGACACTGGATGAA